AAGCTTTCGAGCGCTGGCTAAAGACAGTACCGGAAAGCCATATGATCGTCTTCTCGGACGGCTCCAGGGCGACGAACGGAGCCGTGGGGTACGGCTTCGTCATCTACCGAGACTCCAAACGCATAGCACAAGGGTGCGGCCGACTCGGACTAGCAGAAGTGTTCGACGCCGAGGTCGAAGGGGCGCGAACCGGCCTCAGAAGGGCTCTGCTCACCAATCGCGGTCATCCAATCCACATATGTATCGACAACACCAGCGTTATACAAGGCATCCGCGGCAAGGCGCCGGACTCGTCACAAGACGCGTTCCTCGAAATCCAAGAAGCGGCCAGGATATTTGATATACGGACGCACTGGTCCCCGGGACACCAGGGCATCGAAGGAAACGAGGCCGCGGACCGGCTGGCCAAAGAAGGAACGACACTGCCGGCGCGGATGGGTCAAATGGCAACACTAGCGGGCATCAAGCGGCTTGCAAGGGAAAAATTACAAAGCCAGCACAGGAGATGGTGGTATAAAGAGCGAAGGCCGCGGTACGCGGACTTGGGGCTTGAGGCAGCTCTGTCCAGCCCTCCTGAACTGGCCTTGCCGCGGGCTACGTTACATCACCTGCTGGCGGCACGATCGGGTCACGGGGACTTCGAGCAATATCACCGACGTTTCAACCACGACGACGCTCTAATGATGTGCTCTTGTGGAGAGGCGAAAGACGTGGACCACCTGGTCTACTGTCGACTAACGCTGGCGAGGAGGCAACGGTGGCCGACCCTCCACTCTCGCAGTATGCCCGAGCCCATAGGCCCTATGGGATCTCTCGAGGCCTACTTCAAGAGATTAATCACCGACCCACGAGGCTTCGAGGCCTTTCTCCGCGTGACGGACTTCTTCCAGAAGATCTGTCTGCGGTAGCAGCATCCACACCTACGTAGATGTGAGTGCGGACTACAAAGAACCTCCCGATTCCAAGGGACGATTTGGGAAAGAATGAAACTGGGGCACCAGCGGGAACCGGGGACAGACAGAACGCGTAGTGGCCACAAGGCATGATTTGGAGGACGATGTAAAGAGACGACGTACTGTAGAGTAGGTAGCCTTGGCTCACGGCCCTCCACGCCATATACCCTTCGGGAGGTCTGCGGTAAGGGCTCTAGCCCGGCCGCCACGGCGTTAAATACAACAACAACAACAACAACATGCCCTTGATGACAAAATCACCGCGACCCACTCTCGCTTGGACTGCCTATCTCACCGCGAGCTCATTCCTATTTCTTACTTTCAATAGACAACCGTTCACTAAGGTACTTTACATCTCGATACCCACGATGTGATCAAAGGACAGAGGCCCAGGTACGCTGGACAGTGAGCATATTCTTCTCACTATCGCCAATGTACGATGGGTTGTAGACCTTCACTTGAACCTTGCCATTCACTCTGATGTAGCAGTCGGAATGCCGGAAGAAGAGCACCAGGAAGTCGTAATGCCTTTTGCACATTGATCGAGTGGCTCTTCAGCTTCGCCAGCATAGCACCCGGGCTCGGGTTCTCGGCAAGGGCAATTGTCCTTTGTGCGGACTTACGCCAGTTGTTGTCGCCATTGAACACAGAGCCAGGTTAAGTGTTTTCGTCGTCAAACTCAAGTTATTCTGAATCCAGCGTGTAGCTGAGATCGTCAGACGGCCCAAGGGCAGCCTAAAGCTAGCATAAAGGGAGTCAAACAGCCACAGAGAGACGCCAAGTAAGTCTACTGGGAAGAGCACCCCAAATTGGGCCTAGGTGGATGGTTGACATGGTACTGCGAGAAAGAGAAAAGGTCAAGTCCGAGGAACAAAGATTATGCGCCTGGCTGTAGCTTGAGGACGAACAAGAAATACATTTCTGAACAGAGGTCAGAACAAACGTGAAATATTATTATCAGGAAGCGGATGGGGAAGAGAAATCAACGACCCCATGATGGACCCCATGATGGGTGGAAATAGCAGTGCATTATTTGTCCACAATTCAAGGCCGAGGCTGGCCTCTCAACCCCTTCATTGCTGAATGTCCAACGAGCCAGCTGGGAGGAAATGGACATGCTCGTGACTACATTACGAACCTCAGATATTCATTGTTCCCTTGGTGCTTCCCCCTTGATCGTGCCTACAGTAGGAGTCTAAACGGTGATCGACCTTTAGTTGCGCGACCCTGGCCTCTGATACTACATTTCAGTCTAAGTCAGAGACCAGGTGAACAATGGACATGTCTAAACCACGTCCCAGGTTATAGGTAAGCTGTGATTAATTAGCGAGGCCGTGGACGGACGGTCCTACCAACACGGGAGCGCGTAACAAGCCTACAAAGCTCGTGCCACATCGACTTCCCACCCCTTGCCCCACATGCACACCCAGTACTTCGAGAAGGCACGTGCCGGCAACTTCCGTCCAAAAAATCTAACTTCTCTATATCAAAGTCATTTCGCCCAATGCTTTTTTCAATAAAAAGGAAAATTACACAACGCCTACCCTAGTATACTTGGTCTGATGTGGTGCTGCTTGACAGAAATGCCCTGATTTTTCGATTTCTGTTATTAAAATTTAATTATTCTTATAGTTGAAGTTTTTGTAGTGGTGTTTGTGTGTTTTCCGCTATGGAAGGTGCACTTTTGGCCCGTGCGTAGGTTAGCTTAGGTTGTTGGATAAAGTCACTCGGGCTCGCACCCCCCTAGAGTGGAGCTGGGTATGCAAGTCGATGTGGCACGAGCTTTGTAGACTTGTTCCGCGCTCCGGCCAACACAGTTCTAGCCGTCAAAAATGTTCGCCGCCGCTAAATTGGCGCAAAAACGCCCTGGCTTCCACTCGCGGCCTCGATCCTGGAATTTCAGTGTCCGACTTTTTAGTCTCCCGTGCTTTCTGTCGGGCACGACCTGATTCCGTCGCAACTCTCTCAAAGCTCAAGTTCTGAAGCCACTTGGAAAGATCCATGCTATTTGCTAATTCAGCATCATAATTGGCCGCAAAACCATTGCCAGGAGTGTCTGGTCGGTCATACTCACCCTGTATCTCGAGGTAACTCAATATGCCCCTGAGCTGAGACATTTCATGGCGCCAGACTTAAGCCAGAAGTACAAGATTCGCTTCGGAGCAGATAGGTGGCCATCTTCTGAGCTGCACGCCCTTAGATGATTAGCGTCTTATTCTCAGGTTAGACGGTCGGTGAAAAGAGAAGACAAGACATCGCAGCTAAACTTTGTGCCACCAGCGGTTCTTCTGTGCAACCCAAGTAACGTGTGTCTTCTAGTCTAGGTGACCTTGTGTAAATCCGTCCGCCCGTCAATCCCCCGAAGGGTGGCAACTGGAACTGCAGTACTCAAAGGCATGGCCGCAAACCAGGTAGGTGGTATTCGGGATGCTCATATTGTTTCAGATGACTCATGAGGATGAGCCTAGGCCCCAACATTGGGCTTCGGTACATGTTGATGCTATCGTCTTGGCGCCATGTCAACTTGGAAAAGTCCAAACAGAGGATATCATGTTAGCTACAAGGAAAGTTCCTAAGTTGAGACGCAGGAGAGTATCGTGTAAAACACTTCCTGACGTTTGCTCGCATCTGGAGACCACTCATAGGCCCGACGTATTGGAGGATCGTACCCATGATCATCTCATTTATCACCTTAGGTAGCCACACGTTTTGATAGCTGGTAGTCCCAAATAGTGACATCGGGCTCTGACCGTCTTCCTACAAGCTTTCAATCCAAAGTTGCTACCTTGAGCTTGATCGCAGAGCATGTGCTGTGCAGCTATTGCTTCGGGGTTTTCCGTGCAGACAAATCGCCAAGAAAGCTTAGCCGCAAGACGTAGCGTTTCTAGGGTTAAAATCCAAACTTACCATCCAATGCAGGGCGAACCTTGTAGCCTGAATCACTCGCTGGTCAAGATGCGATTCCAGCCCACCGGCATTCCGCCCAGCCATGCCAGGGCAAAGAATGGTTATGTCTCACATCAGCCCTTGCTTTGTGGTCGTCTCCAAGCCACACTCACCCCCGGCTGACATGCGGTGAACTCTCTAAATGATAAGCGCCGCGAAAGTTATTTGTTAGGAAGCATGTGAGTGTATCTTCTGCCTCATAGCAGTCCATTTTGAGAGACACATTAGAATCTGCGGGCTGGAGGCGCCGACGGAGGTGTTCGTTGGATCGAAAGTGCCCCCCACCCCCAGTAGTCTGCGTCTAATAATGCATGGTAAGAACTTGGGCGAAGACGATCTGTGTGTTGGACAACAAGAGAACGATGTCCTTATCTCCTTGCCGCGATGATTAAATGTCGTTCAAAAGTACATCAACTTGATGTGGTGGCCACACGCATGGTCAGCTGTATACCTACGAGAGAAGCGGGGATGGGCCGAAACTGAAGAACAGGGAACTCTTCGCTGCCCCTTCATTATCTCCATGACGTCTCGGCACATGTCTGCCAAGGGGAGCGAATTCTACTGGGTAGACTGCTTCAGAGAGCCCCTTCGATGTGGATGAGACATGATTTTGCCAAAGACCGTGGGGAACACAGATTTAAACAGGGCCAATGTACCGAGTTTCCCAACTTGATAATACACCCCCGACATGTTGGTTCAGGTATGAGTGCAGCCATTGAGACTCATGTTCCTTCCCTAGAAGGCGGCGCCTCGGCTGGCGACTTTCATGCCACCATCCGCATCTTTCAAAGGGAGTTCCGGTGATCGAAGTGACCGTGGAGGATAGCACAGCTTGGCGTTCGAAGATTCCAAGAACAGCGGCATCTATAATGGTAGTATGTGGATAATCCCAATCGACCGTGACCCCTGGCACCAGACTGCTACGCAAGGGAAATGGATCCGAAGACCCAGCGTTCCTTAGAGCTACGGATAACAAAGGGACTTCGCAGGCCGGAGTCAGCAACATGGACCTGCTCAGATCGGACCGCTTGTTGCAACAGAAGTATTTATTGCAAATACTATAATCATTTCTTAATCGATTGAAAAAACCATCCGGACACAACTTTAGACCCCGCATTGTCTTCTTCGCCGCCAACATGGGGAAGTTTCTAGTCGAGCCATTCACTGGCCCTGACAGAGAGCCGGCTTGGAGACGAAGGGCTCGGTCTCCTCTGTTGCCTATTCTTGTCATCTTAGCAGTAATTGTCACTTGGTACAGTCCTATAGACACGGTGAATATTGCCAATATCAACGTCTTCATTGAACGCTGCTGATACTGACTAGAAGTTTGGCAGCAAGACCGTTGATCATCCTTTGGACCGTCAGTCCGAAATCGTCCCTTCGACGGCGAAACACCCGTTCTACAATCCGACCCCGACTCAGGAAGAAGAACAAAATGCTTTTTATACCCCGGACACTATGGACGCACAGCGGCCAAAGACAGTCGCCGTTATTGTAGAGACCAGCGCATCACGTATGGCCAGTCTGGTACCTGCTTTGGTACACACTTCTGCAGCACTTGGCCCTCAGTGGCCCATCGTTCTCGTCACACGCAAGGAAAATTGGAACGCAAAGTTCCGCCCAGCTCTTCGGCGCCTTCTCGAGGCCAAGCAAGTTCAGGTTACGTTTATTCCAGACTCCATGAGTGTGGCCACTACCTCTTTCGTTTTTCCTTACACCGCCAACTCTTGGCTGTGGAAGCATTTTAGAGATGTCGACCAGGTGCTCCTTCTCCAAAGAGACAGCAAAGTCTGTTCCACATCAACACCAAACCTCGACAAGTTTCTTGATTGGGATATGGTCAGCGTGTCCAGAAACCCAGCGCTTGGGCAAAGGTCTGATGATGGCGTGTCTTTACGCAACCCAAAGATGATGGCCAGCATCGCAAGGGATCTTGAAGGAATTTCTGGGATGGGCGAATTCCTGTTCGACGAGCGGTGGCTGCTCAGTGAAGCCAAGAAGCGCGGTGCACGTCTGCCAGACGAGGGCGTAGCCATGGAGTTTGCCCTCGAGGTGGCAAGCTGTGAATAGCTGCTGGATTAATGAAAGCAAATAATAGATTCCAGACGCCACTTGTGCAGGTTCTCTGACAGATATTGGAATGGAGCGCTAGGTCTCGGATCTAGAGCTGTTCTGTAAGTTTTCTGCTATTTCAGCTGCATTTCCCAAGTTTCTCCCATGCGCTTTTCTCCCCAGGCTTGATGTTCCTCTGTAACTTTCAACTCGAATCCAGCCTTGGCATACAACCGCCGGGCCGCGCTCAGGTGGTTGTCGGTTGCCAAGCCAATGCTGTCGAACCCAACCTCTCTTGCAAACTCAACACAAAGCCGTATCAACTCTGTACCCAAACCAGAACCACGTGCTTCCTTTTCTACCAAGAAGCATCGTAGCTTCGCTCTGCCAGCTGCTTCGCGGTCCTTAATGAGCATGATAGAGCCCAGAAATTTCTCGTCCCTTTCTGCGATCCAACATCGCTCTTTCTCCCGGTCAAGATTGAGGAGGAAGTCGGCCGTGATTTGGCTGACCATGGCCTCGAATAAATCGCCGTAATTATGTTCCTTGGAATAAATAGCGGCGTGTCGGTGTGTGATGTAGCCCATGTCACCTGGGTGGTGGTTTCGGATTGTGATGGAATCGAGAGAATTGAACATGAAACTTTTGGCTGTGTTCATCTTGGGCGAATTGAGGATAGGCTGCAGAGAAGTAATGGCCCGTCGCTCGAGCCCTCCTAGTGCAAATTACGAAGATAGATCGACAATCTCATTGAGAACCCTTCAATCGACGTTTATTGTGTCATCTTATCACCTACGAAAGGGAGCCTTTTAGTGTTGGCGGTGAGCTTATTCCCGGGGTCGGAGCTGTGTGGGGAATGTCGAATTCATGTCATCCAAGGGCGCACTGTACTCAAGCGCCACACTGCATGTCATCTTAGTGTCCTTCACCTGAAAACAGGTCAGAGAGCCGAGGTGGTTTTGATCTTTCTAGATGCTTCTAGTCCTGTGCACGCGAAGGTAGCCCTCGCTGTGAAGACTCGGCGGCTATACTATTCAACATAGGCTGGGAAATACTGAATCCGCAATCATCCTTGAATGGAACATTGCCAAGAAAAGAGTACTCCTCTAAATATTTCGTTCTACTGATTAAATTCCAACTCTACAAGTAACAACCTCTCCATTGTCGAATGGATGTGAATGATTTCAGGTCCTTGCAAATACTATACAGCTTGGGTAGAGCTGCCACGTCAATGCTATCAATAGTACAGGTGAGTCTCCGGTCAGTATGTCGACTCGCTACCTCCTCCCATGCTCGTAAAGCCTTATACCCTAGATCATGTTGTCAAGATTTGATGTCGAATTGCCATGTTGCAGCCATCGTGAGATTGATTTCGCTCTCCTTGATCTCGTATCTGAGAAAGAACCCTTCTCCGATACCTGGGCTCCATACATCCAATATCTTTTAAGTAAAGCATGAATGTATCTGCTTGACTTGCTGCGACAAGCGGACAGTTTACCTCTACAGGGCTCATTGACGGTCGCTCAAGTTGGCAGCTCAAAACCAGACGCTCAAGCATGCAAGGAGGTGATGCTACGCCCGATGTGACCAAAAGTTTGAAGTGGGAGAAGTAATCTCTCGCGTCAATGACATGTGTGGTTGCCAGTTCCCTCGGATGAAAGCTAGTGGGAACCGCTGTCTGAAGCATCTCTAATACCAGCTCGTTTGCTTCCTTCGAGTTACTTTGACTTTGAGCTTGAGATATCAATGTAGGCCGAGACTCCTATATGGATAGTCTCTGCAGAGAAGGGATTCGATCCGCAATCGAGAAGGCGAATCGATTCCCGATTGCTTGTTGGATGGTTCGCGTCGCTCCCAGCTGTTGTTCAAATTCGAGTCGTTGAAGACACGGCAAGCTGTCGGCGACACGAAAGAGTAAGAGAGACGAACAGCTCCAATAGACTGTTGTGCTGATAGAAACCGCGGTGATACAAGGAACCATCTTAACGGGCCCTTGCTTACTTATGGCACTATCGATACTAACGATTTCCATGAACGGATCTAGAACAGCGGGCCATCGACGGTGGACATAATAACGGCGACCACGCCTAGATACTAAATCGCCTGCGTTCGGAACCGGGATACCGCTCAGATCAAGCGAAATAGCGGATTTGGGTATGCCTTCGGTCCAAAGAGCAAGAATAGAAAAAAGGTCTTCCAAATTCCTAAAAAGCACCTTATCTCTCTCGATAATTGTAAGTTGGCCTCCGACTTTCCGAAGGCATCGACGACAACGGTTTGAATGAGCCGTCAGACTCTAAAGATATTGTGCAAAGAGCAATAGAATTGGGGTCGGAGTCTATGGTTGCTACAACGATAGGAGAAGGAATGGGAAGCCAGTGATGAGGCTTAGCCTACCTGCCTACATGTACTTAGCAAAGGTAGCTTGATTAACAGGCCTATGTCATTGTCCCTCTTTGCCATTGCTCTACTTCCCTGCAGTAGTCAAAGCGGTCATCCAAAGGACGCTTTGAGTTACAAGGTCTCTTGTCTCTACTCATTCAGGTCCATGCTGTGAATTGCTTTTGGTCATGATGTTGACTCTCGAAACAATTCTCCCGAACGTTTGAGTAAAATCTAGTTTCAATGATGGTCAGACTCGTGAAAATCTCTCCCGTGAGAAGGAAAAGCTCAGCAGTCTCGTGGTCGTCACGTGGACAGCAAGGGATGTTAGGCTTCGTCAATTAATCGATCTGTCACTGATTTGAGAATTGACAATCAAAACTCCTTGTATGGAGATCCCTATGCTATTCAAGTGGTATCACGTGCCTCCGGAGTTTATCCTCCGGATATGGCCTCACCGAGGTACCCTAGGCGCCTGAGGTGCATCCCTCTCGGTGAGGTCGCCAGATCACCAAATCACGTGTTGAAGAGGCATCAACATGCGCTCCTTCCTCTCTTCCAGACAGAGAGAATTTTAAGCGAGGCGCTAGTGAAGTTGTGTGCCTCACTGCCTCTTCCTTGGCTGCCCACTTGACTTCTCCTTATGTCAACACCACGATCCCAGCTTTCCCTTCCACCAACCTTCTCCCCACAACAAACCTCATCCAAACAAATCCATCCTGAGCGAACGCCGTCCATAAACTTCCTTTTCCACGCCGTCACTGGCGTGAAGTTGATTCCTTCTCGTTCACCTTCACTTATTCTCGCCTGCAGGCTACTCTTTGCCACTGGTCCTACACCTTCAGCAATCGACCAAGATGGCAGCTCATAGCCAGCTGTCCCTTCAATTCTGTGCTTCACTAGTTTTCTGGATTACAATTGCTCTTATCCAGGTTCCCCTCGCTTTGTGTGGCCCTGTCCACATTCGCGATGCTTCGCCACGAGCCGCCTTTGTCTCGCTGGTCTCGGAACAGCAAAGAGAACAGATGGTAGCCTCTGTCGCACAGCTCGAGCAGCGATTCAACCACAAGTACTGCTACGACTGGGTATTCTTCAGCCACGAGGAGCTTAGTGAAGAGTTCAAAGACGCTACCTCCAATGCCACTGCCTCCACTGTCACCTACAACCTGATCCCCCAGCAACACTGGACAATCCCGAACTCTGTCGATCCTGGTCGCTTCGAGGCTGGTCTGGTGCGCACTTAGGGAGTGAATGCCGACAAAGCCCTCATCAGAACGGCTCATCACAAGCGTCGTTGGTCTGCTGGACTCTTTGCCAGAGAGAAGCGTCTCCAGGCCTACGAGTGGTTCTGGATGGTCGAGCCTGGCGTAAGTTGACATCGTTCTTTTTTCCTATCCCTCCTTTGTATTATCTTAGCTGACAAATCTCTTGTATTAGACCAAGTTCCTCTGTGACATCACAGTCGATGTCTTCCGTCTCATGCGAGACCGTGGAATTGCCTATGGAGTCAATGATGTATCCTTCGAGGGCGCCGCTGACTCCAAGCTCCTCTGGAAGAGCACAATGTCCTTCATGGATGCGCATCCCGACATGGTCCGACCCACAGCCGACATCACCTGGATCCTAGGAAACAGTGCCAAAGCCAACAAGCCTACTCGTTCATCAGACTACAACGTGGATGTGACTGACGATATGGAGAAGTTTGACCTTGACTTGCAAGATGAAGGCGGCAGTGCCAGCGGACCAGGAACTGAGGGTGACATACCTCCCAGCATTTCCCTTGAAGCTGATTCTCAACAGTGCGAGCCAAACACGGTTGCCGACGCCTTCACTACTCGACTTGCTGCCAGCTACGACCAGTGTAATATGGATACCCCTATCGAGATTGGCAACCTCAACCACTTCCGTGGACCTCAGCACAGCTCCTACTTTGACTATCTCGACGATGCTGGCGAATTCTACTACGGAAACACGGGCAACATTCCTGTTCACTCCCTGAGTGCTAGCATGTTCCTCCCACGCGACAAGTTCTGGCTCCTCGGTGACATGGTTTGCGAGATGCATGGCCTCCACAGTTGCCGTCCGATGTCTCACCAGACCTCCAACTCCAACCAACAGACCGAGAGGAACCCCAACTTCTTGGCTGACGTAGTTGGAGCTTCTTGGTTCGGCGCCTGTGAGGACAACCAAGTCTTGCTCATCCATCGGGCCTGGGAGACGATGGCGTCAGAGTTGGCCCGCCAGAGAGGTATTCCAGCAGCTCAACTCGGCCACACCGCCCTTGACGAGCGCAACTTCAAGCTCTATAAGCCCGAGAGATACCCAGTCGATGTTACACTGACTTGGTACTCGTTGGAGGATAGCTGGAGCTCTTGGTCTTGTGATCGCTTCAAGTGGTTCCTTGGGGTCTTGGGATGGTAAATCTTTGGCATGGAAATCGGGACTGAACCTTGAAACTCGGATTCTTATGGAGAAGGGGCGTTCAAGCAGCAACGCTAGAGTTCCAGACTTGGTATTTCGTTTGTTTCGCGGTACAATTTAACCTACACAGTTTCTATCAGCACCGAGTAGCCATCCTCAAAGAATGACTGAAGATTCATACCTACTGTTTTCGCCTGGCCCCAAATGAATGAAGTATTCTGTGGACTTTTCTTGTCGATCAGACTGTGAATATGCTTGTGTACACGGCGGACATGGCGCAACACACGCATCGGCTTTGACGATAAAATACTACCAGCGTGTGATCATGACAATACACTCATACAGTAAAATCATGAGGCTAATCAAACTCGTATTTTGAATGCTACCGAAAAGTCAAATAAGCCCCCCCCCCGAGCCTCATCCTTAGTATCGCATAACAAACTCAAGCTCTCCGTAGCAATTTCAATCTTCCCAATGATCTCAGTGGTTATGGTTTCCTGGCCAAAAAGGGTCTGACCAGAACCCCAGCTCTATTTCATCTCCTGAGCTCTCATCTGTGTCCTCTTCCATCAGTATACTCCTCCTCTCGGACGCTATCTCCCTACAAGCCCGGCAATTGTCGACCCTTTCAGGATAAGTCTCCTGTCCCCAAATTGTGTACTCTCTGAATTCCATGCTCACTAGTCTCTTGTGATCGTTGAGGTCCGCTGTGATCAGCAGGTTGTGGCCGGGATGGTTGGAGAGGACTTCCTCATCGCTTGGCCTATACCACGCATGACACGCAATGTGGCCTTGGCCATAGGTTATGAGGAGTGGTACAAACTCCATGCGGGGTTCGGAATTGTATTGGCCAGCGAGATAGTCGTTCATTGCCTCTATACCTTCGAAGGTTGTCCCAGTGTACCGTGGAAGACCGATGCTTGTAGTCAGCGTTGCGTTGTCGGTGAGCCATTCCCAGCTGCCATGAAGTCTTCCGGAATTGATGTTGTCGATGAGAGGCTCGAATTGGGTGGTCAGCATCTGTAAGAACCATTGTTCGTTTTCGGCGTTGGACAAGGACCAGAATCGGATAGCGTTCTGGACGGGATCCATCTCGGAGGAATCGTTGAAGGCGGAGACCTGAACCAATGATTAGCAATGCAGTAATAACCGGGGAGACCTCTTTGTCATTTAGCTTACAGGTCTGATGGGATCTTTTTTCCTCAATTTGAGTAGAGATTGAAAAACACTAGATTTTGCAGGGTTGGAGAACGATGAGCAAATGTGGCGGGCGAAAATCGTCGCTAAACGTTGAAACGTTTTGGGCGAGGAGATGAACACGGCAGAAATACAAGAGGGACTTCCTGGCATACCTCGCTGGGTCTGGGGGACTCTTTCTGGTTGTCAGTGAACCGGAGAAGTACGAGCGACCATTTCAGGCTTGCGGCCGAAAAAGTTCGTTGGAGAAGTCGCGATGTGAGCATGTCGGGCAGGCGTCCCTAAATCGCTTTCCTTCTGGTATTAAATGGCAGGTTTCACTCGCTGGCTGGGGACTTCGGGAAATCGCGAAAAAATACTTTTCTTTTTGGCAGTTCATTCTCGCCGGTCGCGGCCGCGTCATCTACCATGTAGTCCCTGTAGAGGACGGAGGCTTTCGCGAGTCTTTTGTCACCATCAATCAGAAGGTCAACATCTTGGACATCGAATACGCAAAGCAGATCCGAAAAATGGAGTATAAGACATATGGCGAACCCCATGTGGAGCATATTAGCACCAACTTCGACTGTTTTATGATAGGACAAGAAAGCGGCGAACTTGTCGTCGGCTAATGATGATGCCTAAAAAGGCAGTGTCAGTCCTAGAACCGAAGACAGCATCTCAGTCACTGGCGGCTGATATTACGGTTGGTATGTTGAGATGACGGATTGGAGGTTTCGGTGAACTGAGAAAAGGGGAGGCGGGTAGAAAGAGAGACATGATTACGATTGCTTCCTCGCACTTTTACATGGATGGAACATGATTCCAATTCTCACTTCTCCAAGACATTAGGATCTCAACTCGCCAATGATATAGGAATGTTTGCCACCGTGCAATCATTCTGACCAGTGCAGATAGTCAGAAGGGGTGCTGCATACACCGCATGTCATGTTCCTGTTGTAATGACGCGAGCAAGTAACAAAGTCACGCCTGTGATAGGAGCTTGCTTGCGAATCTTGCGGTACTTTCTCAACGCTTGTATTCGTATATTTCCTCCCCCAAAAGATATTGCGCGGACTAAGAAGGAAGACTCCCTGTCCCTGGAGCCCCAAGTGTCCCTCAGAATTGATATTCGAAATGCTCCATCATGACCACGGCATCCTCTTCAGAATCCGCTGCACCATTTTTCATTTCCTCGTGACCGCCCTTTGTGGCACTGATACGTTCACTTGTGTCTCGATACTCGATCCGTTTGATAAGGCAATTCTCGTCCAAGTCAATGACACAGACTTTGCGTTGCCGCAAGAGAATCGTAGTGCTACCGTTATCTTGCAGCCAGGAGGGCTCCAGAGAGCAGGCAGCTCTGCCTCCATCGATAAGCAACAGCTTAATCACAGTGCGATTCTGTCTGAAGTAGCGAGCTCTGTAGTAATTGAGAACCGAGTCCGCGCTTTCGTAGATATAACCTGATTTTCCTAGATCCGCCGCAAGCTTGACGTCTTCTCTCAGGCATTCTCGGGCCGTCTCCCAGAGTACGTTGTCGACCGTTCAGTGGAAGTCTCGGATTCTGATGTCGGTAATATCACGCAAGGGGCGATCTGATACCTCGCCATTCACCTCCGTGGCGAAGAGTCTGAGTTCCTCTTGGCTTAAGTCGGCCATCTCCACGTTCTGGCTGAGGAAATGAAGTTAGTCACACATTTGGGGAGACGCCTACATCAGTTACAAGCATACTTGCGAGCTCTCAAGGCAAGAACGTTGTCTAGTTATGAGTGGTTTGGAGGTAGCTTGTGGCGAAGGACGGATAATCTTGGATGGCGGTGGAAGCAGACGGTATTCGCGCGGGACCGTCGGCTATTTTCCCAGGTGAGAAGAGAAAATTTGGAAGGCGGCTTGCTGAAGCTGGGCACCAAACGCGCCGAGTCGTCTAGTGATGAGAGGAGGGAAGAGAGGAGGGGAGGGCGGATGCTCATTGAATTTTAGGGAAGGGAGGCATTTGGGTGGGTGGAAGCAATAAGATGAAATATGAAAGGTACGATTGTGGGTTGAAAGGCAAGCACGCCTCCGTAGCTTCTGTTTTCTTCTGATCATCTGATGTATTCTCTTCTATTATGGCGTTCCATGAAAGCAGCGAGGTTCGATTACAACCCCAGCAGATGGATAGAACGATGCGCGTACTTGAAAAATATCTCTTTCTCATACTTTACTCGGCCACTCTTTGAATACATCCAGTGTTGACGAAAGCTGGCCTTACCATCAGCACCTATTGTTAAAGCTAGCCCTACCTCTTCGAAGCTTCGAAGGCAAAATGACCGACCCCATCCTCAATAAGCTAGCTGACAAAGATTTCGAATCTCAAGCCGCTGCCAACATTGTAACATGCTGAAACGACTAATAACCATGGTCGATGCACTTCAAACTCTTCCCGGGCTGGCAGAATTTAGAGCGACCATATGATCGGCCTCACAACACGTAGCCTCTCTGGATTGTTGTATCAAGTTTTCTACGGGTATCTCGCAAAGCAATAGCAATAAGAATGTCAGGAATATGAAATGCAAGAATGGAGATAATAGGGTAGTGGGAGGGAAGGAAGTCACTTGTGCGTTGGCCGGCGTAGTAAGGTATTCTGCCCCCCACTTTAAGTCCGAAAGCCCCACATATCTGCACCCGCGACCGCGACGAGCCACGGAGCGAAGGGACCCCACTCGGAGCGAGCTTACCGAGAGAGGTATAGCATGGAGTCCGGCAGATGGTCTACCCCACCTCACCGGCCCAAACGTCCATTCGCTTTATAGACGAGGGTGGTGGCTTGCAAAAGTCTCAATCCGGGCGGGCATGACGTGAGGTGACGGACGTTTGTTCGGCGGCGGGGGTGAACCTCCCGCTCGATCCCCTTCCTCCGCATGCAGTCTCGAGCTCAACCCTCGTAGAGTTAGGTTTGACAAAGTACCTTACGGACTGCACACCACAGACAGGGTGGGAGTTTCACGTATCTTTCAACTACACCTTCAATTCATTCATTTAGGCAGCGGGCTACGATGCCGAACCAGATATCTAAGCAGTGGTATAAGGACGAGTACCTCATTTCCACCGACCGGTCGTTAGTCGACCTAAACGCCGTGAACGATGCCTTTGACTCGGAGCTGCTGTGGTGGACGAAACGCGTGCCGGAAGTCGCTCTGAAGAGGCTGATAGATAACTCGCTCTGTCTCGGCGTGTACAAACTCCCACAGTCTACCGCCGACATTGCAGGTATGCCGACAGGACTTTCACCTAAAGCTCCTTTTCTAACCCTCACGCAGGAAAAAAAGGACCTGAGCTGATAGGCTTCGCCCGTATCGTGACGGATTACGCCACCATTGGCTATCTCGCAGACATATACGTTTTACCCTCGCACCAGGGTAAAGGGCTGGCGCCATGGCTGATGCAGTGCTTGAACGAGATATTGGACGAGTGGCCCGACTTGCGACGCTTCTTGCTCCTGACGTCCTCGCCGCAAGCGAGTAAGTTGTACGAGCAGGCCTTGGGGACAACTGAATGGGGTATGTCGCATTCAGGGAAGCTATATTTGCTTGAGAAGCGGGGGCCTGCGATGCCGAATGGTCCGTCGGATGAGGAGGATGAGGATTGAGCGCAGACCCGGGCGCGTTACTGAGAAGATTTTGTAATCATCATGCCTTGATTGACGTCTTGCCGTACGCTCCACCAGCAGCTTTTCTCAACTCAATCGCACGCTTGTACGGGGGTGCCGTCGGGGGTTGAACAGGGTCCAAGGAGACATGATCTTCGGGCAGTTGGTATGATGCATCAGAGTCGAACGCCGACAAGTCGCCGCATGCAATGAAGGGCGCAATCCATCGAATGTGTTTCTCGTGATCCGTTGTCTCATCCGTTTCGTCGTAGGCTTCCACCTCAACAGCCTGGCCGTCCCCTCTTGTCGCAGACGCCGTGGGAGCAGAGTCCCATTTTCCAGTCAGGGGGTTCTGCGTGAGCGCATCAGCAATAGCAGGCAGCTGGCTCCTTCTCTCCTCGACCATTTTTGGTAGCTCGTGGCCAACGCCAAGCGGGTTCTCGAGACTGGCCTGGAAACCGGCGGGGGGTTGGAAGTTGATGCAGACGATGAAGGCCTCAACACTGCTTGCACGGGAGGATCTTGGCTTCGCGACGATGACGGTCTCGAAGAAGATCTTGAGCTGTGCGTAGAGGAGGTCGACGTTGCGGCCGCGGAAGATCTTGGCGACAAACTTGCCGCCGGGCTTTAGTACACAAAGCGCGAGGTTGAGGGCGGCGAAGAGAAGCTGTGACTGGACGTAGATATCCAGGTCGTGGAGACCAGTAACGTCGGGGGCACCGTCGCTGATGACTAAGTCGACACGATGGCTAGCTTGCTGGCTCTTGTAGTTGGCGGCATCGTACTCGGGATCCAGGGCTTTGAGGAGCAGGGGCACAGTGGCGGGATGCGTGATGTCGGCACGCAATGTGATGATGCCAGGAAGAGGACTGATGGGCTGCAAATCGATGGACACAATCTTGACATCCTTGCGGGGTTGCGTTTCTTCAGGAGCAGTCTCGTTCCGGGTCTTCTCCTCTGATGTGGCAGATTCAGGGGTAGCGGGGAAAACGCCCAACATTTCCTGGCGAAACTTGGCCTCACGATCCTCCCATGCTGAACGGCCGAACTTCTCTCCCTTGATGAGAACACGGGACAGCACCTGAGACCAACTTCCAGGGGCAGCACACAAGTCAACGACTCTGGTTACGTTGGCGAACAGGTCAAACTCTACATCGCCATTAGCGTTCACAGCCAAACATCATGGGATGGCGGGGTAAAGTGAGTCACCTTCATCCAATTGCAACAGCTTGAAGGCACTGCGTGCACGCCAGCCTTGCTCCTTGGCCAGACGGTAGTAAGCATCGCGTTTATCCTTGGAAGACTTTCCCATATTGAAATGAGTGCAAATGAGAGAAAGGATTTATCGAGTGAGTGGTGATTTGGGATGGAAATGGCGGGGGAGGGGAAAATGCCAGCAATGATTTTTTTGGAGGGGTCGACGCCCGCTGTGGCCGCCAAAGAAAATTTGCTGCAGCGCTGTTCTCGTAGGGCTGAACTAAGGTGTGGTCTGTGCACTGGTCGACGTCCAGGGGTCCAGTCCGCCGGCCGAAGTATTTTCCGGGTCCGCCAAAAATTTCGAGCAGCGCAGTGCAGCGGCGCTCAATTCCTTGGGCGCAATGTGCATCGACCTTTTTCTTTTTTTTTTTTTTTTTTTTTTTAGTTGATGTGAAGAATACTCGCGGGGCATTTTCAGCGACAATCCTTTTTGCGCCCTCTGTATATATACGACACCAGGACCGCCAAGATGCAGCACAAGAGAAAGCAACAGCCTTCTGGGGCTGCCCAGAACCCCCAGAAGCGCCAAAAGTCTGCCGCCGGAAAGACTGCGGCCCCGAAGAAGCGCAAGGTCGCTGTCAGTGCTCTGCCATGGAAGGCGGTCGAGGTCCCCGAAATGTTTGAGGATGCCGAGGGCTTCTACGGCTTGGAGGTTATCGAGGGCGTTGATGTTGTCAAGCATGGCGAAAACGTCGAGTTTGTATGTCTTCCAGCTTATGCCCGCCTCCCTTTCTCCTTCAATGCGTTGCATGACTGACCAAAGACCAGGTTGCAGCTATTCCCTCTGGCGACGAGAAGGAGAACGACGAAGACGAGTTCGAAGGCTTCAGCGACTCTGAACCCGCGCCTACACAAGCCGATACAATAATGGAGGAGGCAGAGGCAGAGGCAGCACCAAAGGCAGAGACCAAGAAGACCAAGAAGGAGAAGAAGGCTGCTGCCAAGGCAGAACAAAAGGCCCAAAAGGTGGAAAAGACAGCGGACGAAAAACTTGCAGACAAAGCCGACGTGAAAGACGACGCTGCACACGCACCCGCAGCCGAACCCGAAGGCAAGAAGAAGAAGGAAAAGAAGCAGAAGAAGACTCAGCCCAAGCCGGAGGACGCCAAGCTTGAAAGCAACGTCTTCAAGGCACTCGAGGAAGCTGAAGAGGCCGAGGAGGATATCGACATGACCCCCTGGGTGGACCTTGGTCTCTCCCCCGCGCTGGTTGCGGCCATTGCCAAGTTGAAGTTTGCGAAGCCATCAAAGATTCAAAGCTCGTCGATACCCGAAATCCTCGCTGGCCACGACGTCATTGGCAAGGCCTCTACGGGTTCCGGTAAGACGTTGGCGTTTTCGATTCCCATCGTGGAGGAGTGGCTCGAAAAGTTTGAGGGAAAGGAGGACGAGAAGAAACCGGATAATACCCCTTTCGCGCTCATCCTTTCGCCGACGAGAGAATTGGCTCATCAAATCACCAACCACATCAAGAACCTTTGCGCCGGTTTGCCTCAGGCGCCATTCGTTTGCTCGGTGACGGGAGGTCTGTCAGTCTTCAAGCAGCAGAGACAACTAGCCAAGGCGGATATCGTCATTGGTACGCCGGGTCGTCTGTGGGAGGTCCTTAGCTCGAGCACGGAGCTGCTGAAGGGGTTCAGGGAGATCAGGTACCTTGTGGTCGATGAGGCTGACAGACTTTTGAGCGAGGGACATTTCAAGGAGGCGGGAGAGATCCTCGACGCTCTCGACCGAGAGGTTGTGGACGAGGATGACGAGGATGAGAAGGAGCTTTCGGAACGGCAGACACTCGTCTTCTCTGCCACGTTCCACCAGGGACTGCAACAAAAGCTGGCCGGCAAGGGCAAATGGGGTCTCATGTCCGAGACGGAGAACATGGAGTATCTGCTGAAGAAGCTCAACTTCCGCGAGGAGAAGCCAAAGTTTATCGACGCCAACCCCGCGAAGCAGATGGCTGCCGGTCTCAAGGAGGGTCTTATTGAGTGCGGTGCCATGGAAAAGGTAAGATAGCATCGCCCTCCCAGACTATCCCAAACAACCGAAACTAACGCTGTTCCAGGATCTCTACCTCTACACGATCCTCCTCCTCAACCCCAACCGCCGCACTCTGGTCTTCACAAACTCAATCAGCGCCGTCCGCCGTCTCACTCCCATGCTCCAAAACCTCAACCTCAACGCCATGGGCCTCCACTCCCAAATGGCTCAAAAGGCTCGTCTCCGCTCCGTCGAAAAGTTCACAGCCACGAAAGCAAACACCACATCCGTCCTCATCGCCACCGACGTCGCCGCCCGCGGTCTCGATATCCCCGGCATCGACCAGGTCGTGCACTATCACGTCCCCCGCGCCGCCGACATGTACGTTCACCGTTCCGGTCGTACCGCGCGTGCAGAGAAGACGGGTCTGAGTATCATTCTCTGCGGACCGGAGGAGGTCGTGCCAACGCGCAGACTCGCGGCCAAGGTACACGAGAAGCACTCGAGTAAGAAGAAGTACTTTATGCGGACCATTGATATCGACCGCCGCATCGCGTCCCGCCTCAAGCCTAGGCTCGACCTGGCGAAGAAGCTCACCGACGCGACGCTCGCCAAGGAGAAGGGCACAAAGGACGAGGACTGGGTCAAGGCTGCTGCCGAGGAGCTCGGTGTAGAGTATGACAGCGACGAGCTGGAGAAGGCGGGGACGTGGACGGGTCGTGGAAGTCAGCGGAAGAAGAAGCAACAGGAGGATAAGAACATTAGCAAAGCGGAGATGGGGGCGATGAGGGCGCAGCTTCGCGAGTTACTATCGAAACGCGTCAATGCTGGTGTCAGTGAAAAGTACATCACGTCGGGCAATCTCGATATTGAGGAGCTGTTGCGAGGCGGTACAGGAGATTTCCTGGGCAAGGTTGACGGCCTGGACTTGGAGGATATGTAGGATGGATTGCGTCACGCATTCACAAAAGACAATACCATTCGATTTCAATCGTGCAATCAAAGCTTTTCATTGTTCTTGAGCGACACATTCGGCTCAATACCACGACCAATTATTATATCCGTAGCGGAATTCTGTAACCGTAATCGTAAACCGTGTCTATGATCGTGACCGTCCTATTATAAACGAAAACATCCCATAACCACAACCATATCCGTATTCGTGAACTGGGCTCGCCGGCCCTCATCACAGAAGTTTAATACAACAGAAAAAATGTGTTCGCACTGAACAATAAAGACTCGAAGCTCACGGCCTACTCGCTCACTTCTCCATCGCCTCCGAAGGGCCCGCCTCGCTCTTCCGGGGCTGTTCAGACTTTCTTCTGTTGGGCAGTGGCTTCATCGGTCGCATCATCTTCGCGCCGCTTCCCTGCGCGCTTTCCGGCTTCTTCGCGGGAGTTGGTCCGAGTGAGAGAGGGTGCTTGCCGTCTCCAATCTGCTGCAAGATTGTTGCCACGCTCCCGACCTGAAGGGCATTGAGTTTGGGGCGAGAGTTGGGGTCCTGGAGTTGACCCTCGAGATCTCTGACTCTCGAGACCAAGAGCGTGATGTCCTCGCGGCCCCTCTTCGCCTTATCGCGTAATCTGGTATTGCCCGCACAGCTCTCAGCGTACTGCGATGCCAGCTTTTCAATCGTGGCCTTCCTTTCGTCGAGCTTGGTTTGCTTTCTCTGAAGTTCAGTCTCGTGGGTTTTCTTGAGAAGTTCCAAGATACCGTCCTTGTTGGATAACTCCTGCGTCTTGCCTTTCTTCGCCAAGTTGGCCTTAAGCAGCTGTTCATTGGCAAACTTCTTCATCTCAGTCGTCAACTTGGTGTTCTCGTTCACTAGACGTTGCACTTTCACGCTCAAACGTTCGGTCTCGGCGCAGAAATCATCCCTGGCTACTTTCAAGTCGGCGATGGTGTGTAAGGCAGCCTTCTCGGCTTGTAAGGCATTCAGCAGCTTCTCTTGCTCTTCTTCAAGCTCTTGTGTGAATCCGTAGACGTCTTCTTCTGCCTGCGTGGTTTCGTCGCGGGCCTTACGCAGATCGAAACTCAACTGGGTCATTTGCGCCGCCTTTGCTTGCAAAGCCACCATCGCTTCTTCCTCTACGACCCGGGCCTTCTGCGTCGCGGCGTCCTTCTCTTGCTGTAATATGGCAATCTGAGAGTTCTGGTTCGTCAATTGCTCCACTTGCTGTTGAAAATACTCCTTCTCGAGGCGCATTTGCTCCGCCTCTTGTTGCATCAGGGCGATCTGAGGGCTTTGGGCAGCCGTTTGCTCCACCTGATGCTTGAGATTATCGTTCTCCTGGCGCATGTGCTCGGTTTCGTCGCGAAGGTCAGCGACCACCCTCTCAGCCTCCGCCTTGAAGCCTGCGGCTTCTTGGATCTGGGCGCCTTGCGACTCAATGGTCGACTTGGCTTCAGCCTTAACATTGGCCAACTCTGTCTGAAGCGCGACAATGGTTGCCAACGTTGATGTCTTAGTATCTTGCTGAGCGACTTGCCATTCCGTGGCAGCCGTTGCTTGGGCTTGGTTCCTGATCAATTCCACGCGAAGCTCGGCAATGGTCGTCAACAAGCCGTACTCGGTATTCTGGCTCTCAGCCTTGAGATCGTCCATCTGTGTCTTTATGATGAAACGCTCGAATGCGGCCGAGGTCGCTGATGTGCGGTTGAGAGAAAGCTTGGCCTGAGTTGCTGCTAACTCTGCCTGGGTCGTGACGAGCTGATCCTCGAGGTTATTGAGGAGTACTTCGTTTCGGTCTGTGACGATGAGAGCCGACTGCTGTGTTGTCTCGAGAGTAGCCTCCATCTCTTCAGTCTGGGTTCCTACCGCCAACAGCTCTACCCGAGGGGGATTGTCTTGCTTTCGCTGGAGTGCCTTGATTTCAGTACGCAGCACGCCAATCTGGTCTTCCTTGTGCAGGGCGTATTGTCGGAACTTCGCCTTCTGGGATTCGATCTCCCCTCTAAGGTATTTCTCATGTGAGTGGGATGCCTTCCGACAGACGTCGGCGTCGTGGGCCTTCACTTTCTCGTCCTCCACCTCTGCTTCAAGTCTTGCGATGGTAGCTCCGTCTGTCTCATGTGCAAGAACTCTCGCCTGGGCTTTTCGGAGATTGTTTTCGGCCCTTTCAACCCGAGACTGCTCCCCAATGAGATTGTATTGGAGGTCCAAGATCTGCTGATCAAGCTGGCACCATTCCGATGCGTAGGAGTTGTTTTGCTGCAATGACTTCGTAAGGCGCTCCTCAACATTGTCGCACACCTCCCGTTGACGGTAGCATCTGTTGATATCTGCTTCCGTTGGTGTATGACTTCTTTGTTCAGTTGGCTGCTCGATAGCGTGTCGGAGGACAACTTGCTGCTTGCCTGCATTCGAGGCAGGCTGGCGAGATGTAAAGACTCGGCGCAGGTCATCACACAGGCTCATGACAGCCGCTTTGAGTCCCCAGATAACTTCCAACATGACAGCACCCACGCTAGCCAAGACTCCGAGGACGTGATTTCCGATCAGTGGATGAACATAGAGGAGTATGAGCACGATGAAGAGAAGGCATCCGATGCTTTTGGGGTTGAATAGGTCGTTCTCGCGAGAGAGCTGGTAGATTAGGCTGCCGACATAGCTCAGGGCCATGAGAATAGCCATGATGCCGGCAAAGACAAAAGCGACGATGAACGGGTCGATCATGATGTTTGGTCAGCGTCCGCTGGAGGAGGATTCGGGTGCGACGTTCTTGGAATACTCTCGCTGGGTGGTGGAAGAAGGATGAGTGAGGAGTGAGATGAGAATGAGAATGAGGATAGGATGAGGGAGAAAGGGCGACTCTCTGATGACGATTGGTCGTCTGTAAAATACTTTGGCGAATAGAAGTTTTTGCGAAAGTTGGGAATTCTGTCGTGAAGCTCTGCCGACGAAGGGTTGAGAGGAAGAGAAAATCGGAGGGATGGACGAGTTAGATGAGAGGGTGAGTGAGAAACGAGGATGAAAATACGGACGGTTGGAAAGGTAAGGAAAGCGCTGATGGGGAAACTGCTGCTGAGGGAAGGTGCGTCGAGAGGAAGGCGCGAAAAGGTGAGGCAAGTACAAATCAACGGAGCAATTGGAAATTTTGCAGGGTGGAGGGCTTCGGCACGACCTTATTCACCTTTTACCTACTTGAGTGAGGTTATATATTGAGATCTTGAATATCACAGGTTTCTTTATCAAGCGCAGCTGCCTTGTTCTGCATCTTCCTACCTTTCCATACAATGAGTTGGGCATACAAAGGGGGTGAGCTGAAAGAGAAATGAGTTCACTCTTTGCTGACCAAACCCCTTTGACACGAGCTGTTGTGGTTCAAGGCGTCAGTCCACATTTAGACTCAATCATCAGACATGTATTTCTTAGGTCGAGGACGATGTTAGTTGCGAGACCTAAGGGATATTATACGATCTAAAGTGCGTCCGACGTCGGGTCAGAACTTCCACCACAAAGCTCTAATATCTTGGGCTTAGCACACAAATACAACACAACATAAGAAACTGATCTCTGATGAGTGGGACTGTTGAGGTCGAGGAATGTTGTGTATGCTCGGCTTTCTCTTCTGTGGGACTCTAATCTCGTGATATCGGACGCCTAGCCTCACCGAGGCTTTACCGATCGCTCACCGAAGTCTCCACCTTTGAGTGCAAAACGTCTTCGCTCCGCCAGGCTCGACGGATATCAGAGTATTCCGTATTTCCAAAAAAGAGTAATAGATAGTGTCGAGGTTTTGAGAAGGTGCCTTGTGGTGGTATGCGATTTCGGCTTCTGATTCGTGGTGGTGGGCCAGCTTTGGAGGGCAGTCGGGGAGCCCCTGATGAGTATCATTTAATGGGGAGGCCGCAAGGCAGCAACACTCTTCGTCTACGTAGAGTATCCATGATCGGAAAGTTGCAACATCAATTACGCCATCATTATCCACAACTTGGTTGCATTGGCGAGGTAAAGTAAACAGCATCAGCAGGTCTGCTTACAAGGTTGTTTCGAAGCTTTCATCACTCATTCTCGGTCCATCTGGCTCCCATAAGCACTCAATTAACAGACTCACTAGAACTTTTGGTTGCAATCTCCAATCCTTCTCTGTTCAAATCATTCATATCTGGTATCAAGTGGTGCTAACTCATAAATATTAATAGAGCAAATCTTCGTCCGAGGCCAGCCTGGGTGCCCATCACCTATCGGTTTCGTGATCTCATCTGTGACCCTCCTTGAGCGAGTCGAGCTCTATTGAGCTTTCTCCTTCGCTGAGTCCTGTTAATCTTTCGTGCCGCACTCTCACTTCTTCAGTCTTGATGATGCCGTTCATGCCTGGGAGCGGCGATGCTTGGCCGCCTTCCGCCTCCTGAAGGGCTTCCTGCGACTCTTGCCATCCTCCGGTGGACATGACAACAACAGAGTTTCGACCATATTGTGAGCCTGGGCCATATCTCTTCGTCGACCTAACCTCCTTTCTTGTTCCTGTTTCGAGCGCATGCGACTGTGACTTGTTTCGCGCATAACTTCGTTGAGTTGACTTGAGCTCTCGGTACAGCATTCTCCTACTTAACGTCAGACCCAAGATACGACAGACGCGATCAAGGGGAAGATAACTTACAAGACTGGAATAGATACTGCCATGATAGATGCAGCAGGCTCTGTCAACGTCCAGATTGTCAAGTCGACGCGTTCGTATGTGATGTCTGGGCTGGTCATGTGAACCACCAGCACAGCTTTCACGATGCCGCATATTCCGGCACTGAGTTCATTGTTAGTCTACCGCAAAGTGGTCAAGGGGATTCCGAGAATCTTACATGGCACCCAAGCTCATCGCTACAGCGACACCAAGCCTTTCACGACGTCGCATCGTTGCGCCCATGAGAATCGGCCAGGGGAGGAATGCCAAGACGAAATCGAGAATGGCGGAGTAATCTGGAAGCATGTGAGCATGCAAGCCTCAAGAGAACAATACTTTGTGGCAGTCTTACAGGCAGCAAACAACTGGAATTTAACAAGTTTCTTCTTGTCCCAGCAGCTCCCAGGCACGCTGCTATCCCATACTCGTTGCAACGGCGTGCATTTGGCAAACCCAAAGATCCACACTAAGTTCATCGAGATGTTGATGGAAACAATGATGAAGATCAGGAAGTGCTTCAACCATTGGTTCGTGACGATCCGGTACAACGTCAGGGCAAATGAGCTTTTGCTCGTCGTCGTTGCGATGATTCCGAACGTGGCGACGAGGATTGTGTTGAGGTTAATAAGCTTGAGGTCATCGCTGCTGATTGTATCGATATGGCGTCCGAATCCCAGAGAGACGATGTAGGAATTAATCGAGATGGATATCACCAGTGACACCTGCAACCATGAGTTAGGGGCGCAGGAAAATAATGACGGTCTTTCTTCACATACCATTGACACAATCAAGAGGTGGTCATCCCACCATAAACCACGTCCACGCCATAGCTTGCAATAGATACGCAATGAGAGGAGCGTAGCGCTAGCGACACAGAGAGACCATGTTACGGCGAGGAGTCTGGTGCCTCTGTTGTCAACCATCGTCAACCTCACGACACGCGCACAGTGCCACGAGATACGATAGAAGACGTCGTAAGAAACAAGCACGGGAGTCAATCAGTGGATCCCCGGGAATTCTGCTCAAAAATCGGTCGAAGCCAGCGCCCGCGCGGTAAGGTGCATCACTCCCTCATATTATACATCGGCATCGCACATGATGAAATCTAAGATCAGCGTCCTTAACAAGGGGGCCCCAGGTACCAGAAAGCCTCCTACCCTCCATGAAGAGTCCTTAGTTTCGGGGAGTGCAACCGACTTTTCACGCTATGTGCCCCCCCTCGAAACCGGCGCGAGTATTGCCTGTGTCGGCGATAGGATTTTTCCCCCTACAGAGGGAGAGGCAGGGAGGGAGACGGAGTTCGGACGAAGTCCCGCCACCTGCCCCTAGGGATACCTCATCACGGACAGGCGAAAGACAGGTCAGGCTTCGGCCGGTGCACGACGTATATCACGGCGGGCGGAAGCGGAAGATTTGGGTTCGCAATTCGTACTCGCAGTTCGTACGAAAGTCGAGGCCAGCCGCCAACACGCGCGATGCTGGGACCAACGTATGATTTCTGCAACTACGGATACATTACTCAAACGGAACTGCTGGATCGCTGAGCCAAGTTCGTTTTGCGTCTGAAAATCCGGGAGGTACGGATGCAAGGGAGCTAAAAGCCTGACTAGAGTCAACGGCTCACCACTGACGCTGTGGCTGTTGGTTGCAACCACACTTGTCTTGGAATGATCTGATGGGAACATGAAGTTGGTTACCAATGAGTGCTTAAACAGTAAGGTAGGACTGGAACGTTCACATGGGCTTCTTTGGGTCGGGGTCCATCAATCGGAGATTCAGCCATGCTCCAACAGCGTCTCCGCATACAGACCACGTTCTCTTCTAGAGACGCATAAAGGGTCCACTGGCATCACGCAACTGTAATCACTGAAATTGTAGTGTGCGTGGTCTCGTTAACTCATTCTGCTACCAAAGTTCCTTTAGCCCTGCCAGGCCGGCCCAGCGATGCCGGGGCAGCTGAGGAATGTTCCCACTTCACAACTCAGGATGGCTGGGGTACTGGGTCTCTAGTGCCGAACTCTAATCCTGGGGCTTGAGCGGAGAGATCCCATTCGTGCGCCAGCGATTTTCCCCAGGATTATAGCCGATGGTCAATATTACATATCTCGTTTAAACAGGACTCTTATGGACTTTCCGGGGCTCTAGAAGAGACTAAGAGAGTCTGCTAACCAACACGACATTGGCTGCGCCGTTACTGCGCAGTAGCGTGGTCTCACCATCGATTCTGCTAACCACAATGAGGCATGCTTCTCCGATGTTCCGCCAAGTCTTTGGGGGCAACGGCAACACGGACGGTTACCAACTTCGGCTTCAATCTGCGGGGGATACTGGGCATCAGGCCACAACCCGTCGAACCCGTGATGGATGAATCCTCGGCCGAGAGATCGATAGGCATGCCTCGCCATGCTCTCGCCATGCGACACCAGGATGAACTTACGTAGTAGTATCTGATCGAGCCCCCTGAGCCGAAGCACGCAAATCGTGTTGGAGGGTTGCCAAGTGCCATCTGCAGGGGCAATGAGACGGTACGGACTTCTTGTATGTGTCATCGTAATCTAAGGTAATAGACTACGTAGTAAGTCTGCTAGGGATGATCGGCAGAGCCTTGGAAGAGCCGGTGATTATTTTCCAAAACGGCTCTTAGTTCAGAGTCGTCGTAGTCCAATATTCCGGGCAGTGCAGGGACTAAGTAGCCCTCTTTACGGAAATTTCTTTTTACGCCAGCAGACGTTGAGGCAATTTCTAGACGATATGTCATGATTGGTTCCCGAGTAGCGTCAACGGGCGTGATCAAAATCTCCCTACCTGAACCTCTGTGCGACTGACATGAGACACGCGGGTGTTAGCCTCCCTTTCCTTCTACACCGCATTCTAGAAGCTGCACTTTCTTCGCCCGTTGAGCCTTGCCTGCCATGCGTTCCCACGCGATTAGAGTTCTTCTGGCGTTTTCGTCGTGCTTGGGCGTGTCCGAGTCCTCCTCGCCCGGCTATTGGGGTCCTCGTCCCAAGCCCACGCCGCCTGGACCTCCTGCTGTGCACCTCTCAGACGGAACTTACGTCGGAGTGCGGAACCAGCAGTATGCGCAGGACCTCTTCCTTGGTATCCCGTATGCACAACCACCCGTTGGCCCTCTCCGGTTCGCTGCTCCCCAGCCGCTCAACGAGACGTTCGAGGGGACTCGATCAGCTTCCGAATATGGCTGGATGTGCATTGGATATGGCTCTGATACTGCCAACTTGGGAAACCCCGTTTCTGAGGACTGCTTGACCATCAACGTTGTGCGTCCGGCCGGCGTCCAGCCAGGGGATGATCTGCCCGTTGGAGTTTGGGTTCATGGCGGCGTAAGTTTCTGCCAAGTGTAAGACAATCTTTACCTGGTACTTTTGCTGACTTTGTCGAAACAGAGTTATGTAAACGGAGGCTCGCGCGACCCGAGGTACAACCTCAGCTACATTGTCGATCAATCCGTCAAGGAGGGAAAGCCTATTGTGGCTGCATCCATCAACTACCGAGTTTCGTATTGGGGCTTCCTCTTTAGCAACGAGCTGCAAGACGCTGGTGCTGGCAACATTGGTCTCCGCGACCAGCGTCTCTCTTTAGAATGGCTCCAGCAGAACATTGGCGCCTTTGGCGGCAGCGCTGATAAGGTCACCATCTGGGGAGAGTCTGCCGGTGCTCGTTCCTTGGGCATGCAGCTCGTCGCCTACGATGGACAATACAACAACTTGTTCCGCAGCGCCATCCTCGAGAGTGGCAGTCCCATCGCGAGGTTCGCCGACGCCGACGACTGGCAGCCGTGGTTCAATGCTCTCGTTGACAAGACGGGCTGTACCGATGCCGCCGACAAGCTGAGCTGCTTGCGAGGACTTCCCTGGCAGACCATCAACGCCATCTACAACGGCACCAATCCGTTGAGCGTCACACCGCCCACCATCAGCGCTGTGATTGACGGCGACTTCATCACGGCTCAGGGATCCGAGCTCTTAGGTGCTGGCAAGTTTGCACACGTCCCCCTTCTGCTCGGTAACAACTTCGATGAGGGTACCGCATATGCAAAGCAGGGCATCAACACCACCGAGCAGTTCCAGGCCTGGCTTACTGCCCTTCAGCTGGACAGCGAACAGGTTGCCGCCATCTCGGAGCTCTACCCTGACGACCCTGATGTTGGCATTCCCGTTTCTCAAGTTGGCCGACCTGCTGCCTATCCATTCGGTCTCCAATGGAAGCGAGCAGCTGCCTTTGCTGGTGACTACCAACAGCACAGCGGCCGGAGACTCCTGGCCAGCACGTACGCTGGTGCTGGACTGTCCGTCTACTCTTACCTGTGGAACGTCTACGTCAACGGTCTTGCGGCTGTCTACGGAGCGACGCATTTCCAAGAGGTCGCGTTCGTGTTCAACAACGTGAATGGTGTTGGCTATGCTACCAATCCCTTTGCAGGAAAGCCAGAGACCTTTGTCGAGCTGGCGGATCTCATGAGCAAGATGTGGGTTGCCTTCATTCACGACACCGATCCCAATGTCTGCAGCGGCCCCAAGACAGGCCCTACGTGGCCACTGTACACGATTGATGAGCACAACAACATCGTCTTTGATGTAAATCGCACGGGCCTAGCCTATGTCGAAGAGGATAATTACAGGGCGACAGAGATTGAGTATCTGTTGGAGAACGTCTTCGTGTAATGCTGACGTCGCTATTGACTCATCCACATGACCGAAGCTTACAGCCTTTCTCAAGTCTTCCCTACCTGAAATGCTTGGATTAATAATACTAGCTCAATCATTCTGCCTTAGCTTTTGTAATAGAAACACTTTATCTTGTTGACCTATTTATCCCAGAGCCATCAGCTGTGTCTTCCTGCATTACCATCGTTTCAAGCAACACCTTTTCGAGAGGATCTTCCAGCTTCTTCAGGTGCCCACCCGCTCATTGGGCAGTATTCAAGGAAATGCTCGGGATAATCCGGAGAGTTTCTTCAAGCGAGTCCAAACCGGTTGCGTTTGGCGGCAACGCAGAGTGTTTAAGGTTCATTTATATTAATATCTGCCTCTTGATCAATGCAGACCTAGCCGTTGCTCTGCAGGCTCCGGCTCAGTGACTGCTTGTGCCAAGACTCGAACCCGCTTCTCATCATAATCCCAGCGTTAATCTTGCCGGCTTATGAATCACCCCGATCGTGAACCGAATATGCCACACTACCAGCCACACCACTGCAGGGTGGCGGCGTAAAATAGACAAGGTATCGCCAGGGATGGGTGGGTGATTTCAAGTTTGGGCTGGCCATGGGATATGCAAGAACTCATGGAACATTACATGAGCTTATCAGGATCTACTTACGCTGAGGAAGAGATCCTTAATGTGCGGTCTCTACCGCTGTGTCAGCAGGACATGTACATGTACTCAACCATATCAACTGAAAACAGTCGACAGGAAGGAATTCGGGCCGAAGATAGCTGCCGGGGCTGCATCGTCGTCAACTGATCTGTTTGGGACCCTGTTGACTCCTCGATCTCCACAGAGGTTGTGGCCGTTTGTTGAGTTAAGAACTTTGTGTGGCAAAGGCTAACACTCTCAGCCGCCTTCAGCCATCGCTTTGAATGTTCGACTACCTTTGGAGTCTAGAACATCCGAGGGCTGTGATTCAAGGCCTCGCCCAAGATTTTGCAGACCTTTTCAGAACGCAGCCCGATACCTTCCCACCTTCATGTCTCCAGTCCAAGTTCTTTGACTTACAATCAGTGGTGTATAATCTTTACGGTCATCTCTTTGAAACAGCCGATGTTGTTTATTTAGCGTCATTGAGATGGAGAGTAGACCAATTAAGCTCCTCGCTTGGAGTATGAATAAGCCTTGCGCCTCATCAGTCTAGACCCAGGCGATGGCTTGCCAGGCTTCCTGCTTTCGTCGCCAGCCTCGGCCATGAGGGTACCGTGATCTGATATGGAGAGGTCGTGTTCAGATGGCGTGGCGCCCCTATTGAGCTCAGGTCTGGTGTGAGCCGTCTCGAGACCTCTATAGGTATGGAACTGCGCACCACTCTGAGCATACATGTATATAATCTCTAGATGATCTATCCCCGAGCAGGTTGAATTGTTAAAGGAACTTACGAAGAAATACCCGTGATAACTTTGACCATGTACGGCATCCAATCAACAGTCCTTGGGAGGTCGAGAGATTCTTCTGCTTCACCGATCAAAATGGCATCGTCGAGGAAATCGGCTGGGTTCGAGAGGAGAATGAGCTGCTTCTCCGCCAACAACATCAGCAAAGCCGCCCCTTTCATGATGGCGTTGGACCAGCAGCTATATCAACCTTACAGTCCACGGACGCTTCTGATTATGACGCCCTCGCAGAAAGACGAGGCATTTCACGTCGCCAAGCGGGAGCTAGACGGCAACCCTGACGACGAGTCCGACGTTGACAACTACTTCGAAATGCCGTACGATGCCAACGAAACCCGAGCGGCGCGGTCCCCGGAAATTATGGAGGAGGAAGAAAACGAACCCGAAATAACTCAACGAGAAAGGGACGTCGAAAAGGCATGCACTTTTCTAGAAGGTTTCATCGAGGACCGATGGGAATCGCAGTTGCAGTCAGGATACATCAAGATCGTCTGCGACTTGACCTTGGGTGAGATCAAAGAGCTTGGCCGACTACGCAGGGCAGAAGGCACTAGAGAATGCCGAAAGCTCGTCACTGCTCCAGTAATTCACGATGCCATTGGCCATGCTCTTTGGCTTGAGATGGCAAACGAGGTTGCTGGTCACGAGACGACGACACAACTCGTCAATACGAACCTGGCCGCAATGGCAAGGAAGGAGGATACAACAAGACCTTCCACCATCAAGTGGTCGAGCGAGCAGGAGGTGGTCGAACGCAGAGCAAGATCGATGAGGAGGCGAGCTACGGACAGCGAAGTGTCTACTGAGCCGATGGCTTCCTTGAGTCACTCAGTCCCGCCCACCACGGATCGTGTAAGGCGAAAGAGCGAAATGCCGACGCTTCGGCCCAATCAGATCATATGTACGACTTACGGTAGCCGTGCGATGCCCGACTACAAGTCCGACGAAGAAGATGGTCGTACCGACGAGGACAAGGACGAAGGCGCGGACTGGAACACCCCGCAAGAGAATGGCGACACTGAGGTACAGGAGACCAATGGCACGGAGAGGCAAGTGAAAAAGCGGAGCAGCATTTCCAGGCGATTGTCCCTCAAGGTGAACCGGACTCTAACAAAGTTCGGTGAGGGCCTCGCGCCTGGCTACATGTACGCCGGTGGCGCGGGCGGCCGGGTGCTCAGCTGAGTGGCAAGAGGAGGGAGGCTCTGCCATAGTAAAGTGTTTGACCGGGCTCATCTGTGATACGCAGGACACCATCGTTCTGGAAGAATGGAAGGTGGCAAAAGTCAGTTGGCATGGATCGATGCCATCAATGATTACCTTTTGTACAGATCGTAATCCAAGAAGCAAGGTAGGTGGAGGAGGATACCCAGAATAATACCATCGTGGTGGAACGAAGAGACTCTTGTATCTAGGAACCTGGATAGTCTGTCGAAGAGTGAGTAATCTATTTGGTTGCGGTTGTGCATGACTGACTCTGTTGATCCTCACGTTCTGAATAAGGTGATTGATAGCGACAAGATACCGAGCTCGGCCGGGCAACAATCCAGCAGCCGACGGTTCTTGACTTACCTTATGTAAGCTGAAATCTTCCTTCTCTGTCTCCAGATCCCCTCGTGACCTACTTCATGCACCTAATGAGGAACCCAAACGAACAGTCAAAGACGCAGTGCTTCTTTCAACCTCACATTGGCAAATTGTGTCGGCCTGCCACAATGATTAAGGCTAGCTTCTAGGGGAAAGCTTCATCTTGGCACGCCAATCGCGTCTACCGGTGTCTGTCGCCCCTTGTTTGTGGCGTCTGCCGGCTCCTGAGTCATTTCTGCGACTGTCGGAGGCTATCATCACATTACCATCACGAAGCCATCACGACTTCGTGAGGGGTTTCCAAGTACCGACAGGTCAGGCAACCAGCCTTGCCTTCTTCATGGGCCATTTTTCGACCCTCTGAACCGATATTTGTACTGTCGGTGAGGGAAATGGGCTATGGCGAGTGCGAGGTCCACTGCTGTACACACCAGACAGTGAACTTGCTTTCTATACCACGCCGGCTTCCACTGAACCAGTGTTTGATTAAGCAACGCCATCGCGGCTGCAGCTAAGCTGTCTTGGGGACACCTCAAACGGTGCCCCTATCTTTCACAGCCCCGGATGATTAAAGACTTATTGAAATGGAGGAAAGGCATTCTACCTATGCAATTTTGGCATCACCGCATCAGATCCGATGTTCTTGGGGTCGTGAAGACTCCGCCAGACTCCGCGATGAGTCGGATTATTCGTATCTGTCCGGTCAATTGAAGCGGAACATGGAATCCCCACTGCGGAACCGCAGACGCGCTCACGTTGAAGTTGTCCCTGGTTCAGCCCTTCAGCTGTCAAGGGGGTTGTGCAACTTTAGCGCCATCATGACAGGGGCTAGTGACAGTCGCGGTGGTGATTGACCATCAAACCACCAAGTCTGCCTAAGCCAAGATGGAGAAACTAAGCTTCCACGCTTCTCACGGCTACACGGGCTCAACTGATGGATTTCATTACCCCTTGCAGGAGGTTAGAAACGGTTTCTCCCCCGCGCTTAGCTTCCCATGCCTTCCTTGTTGATCGCTCTAGGCAGAGACATGGCCATCTGGTCCTCTCTTCCTTCTTACATCATGCTTCGTGAGAGGCTTCCTGTCTATTCTGACTCTGTTGGCTATTGTTGACGTCCCATTCCTTGATACCGTTTGGTTTCTGTTGCAGTTCGCCTGGGAGAAATGTCGCGGATATCATCCCAGCTATGGCTGTCTCTCTTTCTTGTCGGCCTCGGCAGGGCCGCAAGCATCGTCTATGTCACAGATCTATCCATCTACACCTTGTTGGTATGTTCAGAGTCTATGCCGGCCTGATAAATTCGAACGACACTGACCCATCTTAGGCACCATGCGTTCAGACGGCGGTCTCATACAACATCTTCTCCCAGACCTACTCAGCCTGCGGTGAAGCACCGACAGATTTGCAGTCATGCATATGTACGAAGAATAACAACCTCGCTGCCATCTCGACGTCCATCGCCAGGTCAATCAGCTACAGCTGCGGCTCAACGGCGTCCGATGACCAGACCAGCGCTGCGGCAGTCATCAGCCAGTACTGTAATCCCGATTCAACGGTCAACTTTCCGACGCCGACGACCAATATCGTTACCAAATATGCCACCGATATCGCCGAATTTTCCAACATGGCCCCGTGTGCCCAGTCTGGCGTGTCGTACGCCATCAGCTCGATGTCGTCGTTTTGCCCCGAAGCCGCAAGTCTGATGGCGCCCTGCATCTGCTCGAAAAACGACAACTCAGCGCGTGTCAGCCGGTCCATTGCGTCACTTGTTCGTTACTCATGCTCCAACGCGGCTGATGTTACCTCTGGCCTCGCTTTCTACGACGCGTACTGCGCTATGAACAAGGGCACCACATCGTTCCCGCAACCCTCGCCGCCTCCAGGAGATATGACCTACTACATGACGGCGCTTTCCCAATACAGCTTGCTGGCTGCATGCGCGCAGTCGGGGTTTTCAGATGCCATCTACTCGCTCACGAGATATCAATGCCCGACAGGGCCTCAGGCCTTGGCATCTTGTATGTGCTTGAAAGATGGAGTGACCAACATCGTCATGAGCACGGTGACATCAGATATTAAATGGTACTGCTCCTCCACAGCTACGGATGATGTATCTTCTGCGATCGCCGTGCTGGATTACTATTGCAAGGCTGCTAGGAACGAGGTGGTAGCCACCGTCGCTGAGTCAAGTGAGTAGATCATGCACCAAAGGATGCATTGGCTTTGACTGACCTTACGATAGTTGCCCAGACATATCCAAAAGCTCAAGCCGGCACAGGGTCAGGGACTTCGGGAGCCGAAGCTACTGCCACTGGCTCATCGGGTACCTCTGGCGACAGCACAGATACCAGCCGCAACTCAAAATCCAGCATTCCAAGCCTTGCAGCCATCATCGGAGGCGTCATTGCCGTCGTTGGTGCCCTGTCTATTGCCGGTCTTGTTGCCTTCATCATCTACCGTCGTCGGAAGAAGAACAAGGCCGGATTCCCGCTTTCAGGGACTGCCGGCCCTCCAGAAATGACAGGCAAACCCGAGCTAGGCGGCACGATGTTGTCCGAGCTGCCACCCAAAAGTCCTCAGATGAGCGTCTCTTACACGACCGGCTCTCCACGTCCAGACACGATATCACCCGCATCCAATGGTGGCGGTGTATGGGCTCCATCCCCAACCGGCGTGGAACTCCACGGCCAGACAAGATTGCCGTCTGAGATGCCAGCCAACACCAATGGTCAGCTACAGCCTGCGGGTCAATATCTGCCGTCGGAGCTGCATGGTCAGCAGGGACAACCTGGATATTTGCAGCAGCAACCGTATGGCCAGAGCTTGCCACTACCACCCGAGCTCCAAAGTAACTACTCCCAGCCGCAGGTGCATAGTACCCTAGCAGAAGCTCATGGACAACCGATTCACCAAATGCCGGGTGGGCCACCGGCAGTATATCAAGGGCAAGGACAAGATAGGGCAGAGCTTCAAGGAATGGGATGGGATGCCGGCCCGACGCCAGGATACTCTGAAATGGATGGAGGGCAGCAGCGACGATATTAGTGGCGCTGACACTGATCAGGCTGGCGGTGACTCGGAGAATCATGGAATAAAGGCGTAATGGGGATGATGAGGAGGATTTTATGAATAAAGATACCTTGACTGTTAGATAGTTGGATTCGATAACAAAAGAAGAGAAATACTCACTTTCTCCTCGTCTACTTCTTTTCAAGCTTCATTCCGAGAGACCTGCTACGTTTGCAGCAAAAGGAGTTGAGAAAAATAAAGAAAATTTAATCAAAGGCGACAACAGTAAATCAAGTAGAATGGAAGAACTTGTGAGAAGGTGAAGGGCAAACAAAGATGCTTCCCGTCGTGTGGAGCTTGCCTTGCCCTTGCGCGCGCTCTCACCAGCGCAAGACTTCGGTGAATTGCGTTGTCACCGAGTAGGGGCATCGGTGAAGGCCAGGGGTGGTCGGTCAGGAAGCTCTGACTTTGCTTCACCGAAAGATGGCTCCACTTGCCGGCAGAGCTCCTGATGACTCAGCCGGGTGATCTTCGGTGGTCTGTTCAGCTTCAACGGGCAAGGCTCTCTGATTGGTCCAATGAGCTCCTTTGTCGCCGTTGGTTGCAGGCAGCTCTCCCCCAGCCTTGCATCTGCACTGTGCGTTGGCTGGAAAACATTCGCCTGGTCGCGCTCTTCTCAAAATCTTGCGACCTACCTGTTAGCCGCTGAATCCCACCCAACTCCTCGTCGCCTGGATTCAACTCTTGACAACCGCCTCACCCCAAATCGGCGGCTCTTGGTTGTTTCCTCATTCTCTTTCGAGGGGCTATTCTTCTTGGTTTCGTTTCCATCACAACAACACCTGCCTCAGCCTTCCCGACCGGTGGGCTGTTTGACGCGCGACCTAGCGAACCTTTCGCTAAAACACACCTACCTACATTCCGAACGAAAACAACGCCGCGATCCGCTTTCGATGTCTATGACTAGACCTTGAGATAACAACAACATGGCAGCGGCGGTGGATGTTGGCTATGTGGCCGGCCACCTAGGGCTGTCCGAGTCAACGGTCTCGACAGCCACAACCGATCCGACCCCCGAGCTCGTCGCGAGCCTTCTCGAAGCCGTCATTACGAAAGCGCGCGAGCATGATGAGTTATATGCCCAGAAGCTTCAGGTCGACATCGAGCTCGAAAGTGCCCACCACAGCGCCGAATCAAGATGCCAGACTTTCAAGGCGACAGCCGACAAGGCACTGAAGGATGTCGAGGAGATTCGCCAAAAGCTCAAGGAGGAAGGTTCGTTCACCCACGGAACTGCCATATGTGGGTTTATAAAGATCTGAGGGATTGACTATACCAATGACAGAAACAAAGCGACAAACGGTCGAGAATGAGCTCCAGTCGCTCAAGTCCCGCGGATCCGACCACGACTCCGAGATCACTACTCTCCGCGATCGCATTGAGTCCCTGCAATCTTCTAACCGCGCGAATATGGCTCTGCTTGAGTCCCGAAATGCCCGCGATTCAGAGCTCTCCGAGGAGCTAGCGAAACAGCACCAGAAGAATGTCCAGCTTCAAAAAGAGATCACAGCTTTGCAGCAGTCCATCCAGGCTGCCCAGGCCGCAGTTAGCAGCGCAAAATACCGAGAAGAGTCCCTACAGCAACAACTCGATCTTGCGCGACGCAACGGCGAATGGTTCGAGACCGAACTCAAGACCAAAAGCGAAGAGGCTCTCAGGTACCGCCGCGAGAAGGGCGCTCGGATCGCCGAATTACAACGACAAAACGAAGACGCCAAATCCAGCATCGAATCCCTGAAGCGAAGTGAACAACAGCTCCGAGATCGCCTCGACGCAGCACAAGCCAAGGCGGAAGAGGCCCTCACCAAGGTTCAGCAACAACAGGAGGCATTCGCTCGCAGCGAGGAGAGCTACAAGCACGAGATCGAGAGCAAGCAGCGCGTTGTGGACATGACCAACCAACTTGCCGACAGTCATAAGGCCCGTGTACAGACTTTGGAGGGTGAGAAGGAAGGCCTGAAGGAGAAGCATGCCAACGATATTCGACGCATACAGCACGAACTCGAAAGCGAGAGGGAGACATGTCGCGCCTTGGAGGAGCGGGTGACTCAGCTTGAGGGCGAGGTTGACGAACTTCACGCTCGTATGGAACAAGGGCCTCCCCCTGGATCTGCACCTCAAACACCCCGTATGAATGGCCCTCTTCTTGGAAGACCTGCCTCGCCTTTTGCTACTCCCGCTTCTGCACGCAACAAGTCTGCCATTACCGCAACCCAGGCTATCGACGAACTGTACAAGGTCAAGGGGCAGTTGGCGGGAGAGAAGCGCCGCAACCAACAACTCGCCGAGGAGCTCGACAATATGATTGCTCTCTTGGAGGCCAAAACACCCGAGATCGAGGAGCTCCAGAACGAAGCCGACACACTTAGGGCTGAGATCACTAGGATGTCCGAACTTTCCCAATCGAGCTTCGAAGAGCGTGACGTGGCTAAGAAGAGCGCGCGAAAGGCTGAGAGTGCCTTGGGCAACGCTCAGGCTGAATCTAAGATCCTCCGCACTCAACTTCGTGACCTCAGCACACAGATCCAGATGTTGGTTTTCAACATGCATGCCCGCGAAAAGGGCTTGGAGCAGTTGACTCGCGAGGAGACTGTACGCCTTGAGCAGCTTTCTCGCGGCGAAATTGCCGAGGGTGCGCTCAACGACATGTCGGATACCCACCAATTCATCACCCAAAAGTTTGTCGTCTTCAAGGACATCCAGGAGCTCCAAGCCAAGAATCAAGAGCTTCTGAGAGTTACCCGCGAATTGGCAGAGCAGATGGAGAGTGAAGAGGCCGTTGCCGCCAAGAGCCAGGCTGTGGAAGACCACCAATCGGTCGAACGACTGCAGCAAGAGCTCGCCAATATGATTGAAGAGACCAAGTCCCTGAGATCAACAATGGAGAGCTTCAAGTCTGAGCGTGACATGTTCAGACGTCTCCTCCAGCAGAAGGCCTCAGCCGGCGAGCTTGCTTCCATCCTTGGCTCTGATGACGGCCAGCGCCTTCCGCTCACTAGTATCGAGACTGAGGACGGCGATGGCGTGTCACCACAAGCTGCTCTGCGTAACCTACAAGTCGAATTCGACACCTACCGAAATGACGAAGAATCTGTCCGACGTTCCTTGCGGGAGCAGATTGACAGACTTTCAAGCGAGAAGAACTCCCTCCAGGGTGAGGTTGCCAAGATCACCAGCCAGATCACTCTTGCCTCCGAGAGATACGAGATGCTCCACTCCAACTATGTTGCGCTGCAGAGCGAGAACAAAGAGATCCAGAAGCGTAACCAGTCGCTCTCAGAGGACTCTATCAAGCACGAGATCCGAACCCAGCAAGTCGCCGAAGAACTCATCGATGCCAAGGGCTTGCTCGAGAGCGTCCGAAATGAGGCTGCCAACCTTAAGGCCGAGAAGAAGTTGTGGAAGGATATTCAAGATCGCCTTAATCAAGACAACGAGAGTCTTGTCCAGGAGAAGACGAGACTCAACAACCTTTTGGCCAGCCAGCAATCCATGCAGAACGAGCGCGATATTTCCGAGTCCGAGTACAGACGGAAAGCCCAGTCCAAGATCGACAACCTCGAACAAGAGCTGAACAGCACGAAGCGCAAGCTGTCTGATGAAATGGAGGAAGGCAAGAAGCTCCAGCTTAGGAAGGAGTTTGATGCCCGCGAAGCTCAGAAGCGTATCGACGAGCTCTCTACCAGTCTGAGCCAGATCCGTGAAGAGCACGTCGCTGTTAAGACCAGCCGCGATCATCTGCAAGCTCGGGTTGATGAGCTCACCATCGAGCTTCGCAACGCAGAAGACAGAGCTGGTCGCCTGGCGCCCCGACCCACGCCAAGGCCCGGCACGATGGCACCTCCTACCCAGACTGACCAAGACAACGAGGCCGAGGTCCGCGAACTTATCAATGAGGTTTCTGATCTTAAGAGGGAGCTCGACATCGCCAAGTCTCAGCTAGAGAATGCCAAGGAACAGACGGAGCAATACAAGCAACTCAGCGAACAAAACGAAGAAGCTTTGACTGAATTCACATCGACCACAGAGCAATTCAGGGAAGAGATGGATGCTGCTTTCGCGGCAAAGGACGTCAAGATCAAGGAGCTGGAGCAGCGTGTTGAGGATCTGTCGTCGGAACTCGCAAACTCCAACAAGGAGCTTTCTCACCTTCGCGATTCCCAAGCGGAAGTCGCCCGCAAGTACGAGGACGAGAAGACGATTCTGGATGAGGAGGTCAAGCGTTTGAAGGAGGAGGCGGACCGCCACTCAGAAGCTGCTAAATTCCACCAACAGGATCTTCGTGCCCAGTCGGATATTACCGCGAAAGCTCAACAGGACTACGAACACGAGCTCGTCAAGCACGCCGAGGCTGCAAAGCTCGTCCAACAATTGCGCACTGAGTTCAACGAGCTCAAGAGTCAGTCGGCGACTCTGAGAGCCGAGGCGGAGTCGGCTAAGGTTGCCCTGTCTCAAAGTGAAAGCTCCTGGGAAGAGAGGAAACAGCGAATCGAGCAGGAGATGTCGGAGATCAAGGCCCGCCGTGATGATGTCAACGCACAGAACAAGCTGCTGCACGAGCAACTGGAGAGCATCACGAAGCAGTTCTCTGCACTCAAGGAGAGTCGCAATGCGGCAACAGGAGACGCCAACGATAATGCGGAAACCGGAAGCGACGGCGCAGCTGATGGTCTTCGGGAACTCAACAATTATCTCAGACGCGAGAAGGAGATCTTGGAGGTGCAGTACGACCTCAAGGTGCAGGAATCCAAACGCCTACAGCAACAGCTCGAGTATTCCCAGTCTCAGTTGGACGAGGCTCGCTTGAAGCTCGACCAGGAGCGACGCTCGCAAGCCGAGAGCGGCCAAGCCTCCATCGCCCACAAGGATCTGATGGATAAACTCAACGAACTCAATCTTTACCGCGAGAGCAGCGCTACTCTTCGCAATGAGCTCGCTCAAGCACGGACTCACATCTCCGAGAAGAACACCAAGATTGAAGAGTTGGAAGGCAGGGTACAGCCTCTGGAGGCTAGAATCGAGGAGCTCCAGACTCAAAAGGGCTTCCTCGAGGAGGAAATCAAGCAAGTTCAGGAGGACCGTGACAGATGGCAGAAGCGGACCGAGGGCATCCTTACAAAATACGGTCGTGTTGATCCCGCCGAGATGGAGCAACTCAAGCAGACCATCAATGATCTGCAGGCTGAACGCGATGCCCTCAAGGAGTCTGAAGGCCCTCTGCGAGCAGAGTTCGAGGAAACCAAGCAGACGCTGGAGATGGAGAGGACCAATTGGGCGAACGCTCGCCAGCGTATGACCGAGCAGTTCAAAGAGCGGTCCCGTAAGATCACCGGCGAGAAGAATGAGGCCTTTAGTGCGCGAAACGAGGCTGTCGCAGAGAAGGACGCCGCGATTGCTGAGCGTGAACAACTGCAGCAGCATCTCACCTCGATAAACACCGAACTCGAGTCAACAAGACAGAGCTTGCAGGCGACGACGCAGCAGCGCACAGAGTTTGAGCAACAGGTCAAAAGTTTCCAGCAACAGGTACAGAAATTACAGCAAGATGCTCAAGCCAACCAATCTGGCGCACCACCCCCTGTCGCCCAACCCACCGCAGACGCGTCGACATCAGTGTCTTCAGAAGTAATCGCCCAACTAGAGCAGCAACTCGCCGAGATGCGAAGCCAGCTGGAAGCCATCTCAGCCCAGAAAGTGACCGCCGAGCAAGAGCTCGACGGCCTACGGACACAGCTGCAGACAGTCGTCTCCGAGAGAGATCAGGCTGTCGAGGCCGCACAGCAGGCTGCCCAGGCACAGCCGCAGCCCGCCGCTGAGCCGACAAGCACGAACGCGGCGGAGACAGGTGCCACAAATGGCGCGACTGGTTTATCCGATACTGAGCGCAAGGCTTTGGAAGAGAAGATTGCTGCCGCCGAGGCCAAGGCTACAGAAGCTGACCGCAAGGCGAATGAGCTCGAGGAGAACATCACCCAGACCATCAAGGAGCGGTCGGATAAGATGCGCAACGCACTCAACGAGAAGCTACGCCAGTCTCGTGAGAAGTTGGAAGCCGAATTCTCCACCAGGATAGAGCAAGAAAAGGTGATCTGGAAGGCCGAGCAGCAAGGTGCCGCCCCTACTAAACCTGCAGGGGATCAACCAGCTGTACCTGCTACGCCCATCAAGCAGCAAGACCCGGATGCAGTCCCGGCAACGCCAATGACCGGCACACCCGCCGGCGCCGCGGACTTATCTCAGCTCCCCGATGCCGAGATTCGCAAGTTCCTTTCCACTAATGCTACTGTGCGGAACATCATGTCGGGAAATCTTAGAAAGAAACTCGAGGAACAGACTGCCAAGGTTAAGAACGAGACAGAGACGAGTTTGAGGGCCGAGTTCGAGCAGAGAATCGCAAACGCTCGCGAAGAAGGCCAGCTGCTGGCACAGAAGAAGTCTGCTCTGCAGATCAACATGAAGGACAACCAGCTCAGAGGTGCCAACGCCAAGATCGAAGTCGTGTCCACGGCAGCGACCAAGACACCTCAGCGACCCGTCGTGGAAGTCTGGGAGGAAGCTAAAGTTGCCAAGCCAGCTCCCGCCGCGCCGCAGCAAAGCCCGGCGAAGCCCGCTGGTAACACACAACCCACGGCACCCCATCCTTCGATCTCGGCGCCCTCGGCTGCCGCGGCGGCCCAAGCTGCTGCTTCAACGACTGGTGAGTTCCTTGGTCCAAACAAGCAACACTTTTCTCGTTCTAACCGTTCCCAAGCCCCCGCAGCCTCAACTAGCCAAGCACAGCCACCTGGCGGCTCTGCTCCTAGTGGAATCCCTCCGCCGGGCAGCAGCATCCCTCAAAAGAGACAAATACCCGCTCCCGGAGATACGAAATCAGCAGCCAACACTGCTGCAGCGAACCCGTTCGCGGCCGGTGCTGCTAACGGCGCTCCAGCTCAGGCCAATCCTTTCTCACAAAGTACACAAGGACAGCAACAGCAACCGCCGCAGCAGCAACAGAACCCTTTTGCTTCAAGCACACAAGGGGCACCGGCGGGCCAGGCGGCGCAAGGTCATGGGCTACCGCAACCGCCTGCTCAGGCTGCTCCAGGCCAACGTAGTGGCATCCCCCTCCCGGGACGAGGCGGTGCAGCTGGTCGAGGTCGAGGTGGCGCTTACGCTGCCGGAAATAGGGTGTCGAGCGGAGGTGCAGAGAGAGGTGGTCTGGCAGGACGTGGTGGGCGTGGTGGTGGCCGAGGAGGGCACAATGCCGGCCCGTTGAACCCTGGTGCCAACGATTTCCAGCCTGGTAACAAACGGCCTAGAGGAGATTCCGAGGCTGGGGGGAACGCTGGCGCAAAGCGAGCCAGAGGAGGTGGACACTAAGTGGCGAGACACGAGTTCATGGGCGATGTGGTAATAGCGGTGGTTATTGCTTTCCAGCTTTCAATCTGTATCGATATGCAAAAAGAGGTGCAAGGCGGCTCAAGGAATGGATGAAAATGGGCAGGCCAAAACGGTCTACGAGCGTGTATAACCAGCATATACTCTACAAAATGAATTTTCCTATGTTTGTCAAAACTGTTTTTGTTGCCATGGTGGTCGCCAATGGGTGTGCTTATGCGATTTCGTCCTCTTTTGATTCTTGGGCGGGAACCAAGTTTGAAGTAACACAGTCGAGGTGTTTCATTGATTCTGCGTTGCCATAAGTAATAAGTCGCCATGTTGCCTTGATTTGTGAAGTCTCCTTCAAGTCACTTACACATGCAAGCAGAGCAGGTACCTTACTCAAAACATGAGGTATCTCAAAGAGCTCTAGTTCAGCGTGCTACTCGGGCATGCCTTCTTTTTTGCCACAGGATAGGTAACATGTCCCGTCAAGTATCAGCGTAGTCTATCGGTTTCAAACATGATAGAAAGCTAAGAAGGCACACTTTACATGCTAGACCGTTCACGCATCCTGATTGCGAGGATATCGACTCGATAACAAGCCATCCGACTCGCGCAAGATCGGGGATTCGGTGTCATGACGGGTTTCTCGGCCTGGGGCGTTCGTTCGGCCCCTCTCCAACTGCGCCGGGGACCCCGCACCGGAGTCCCTAGAAAACAAGCCCTATTCTCTGGAAACGCGATAACCCTGTCGAGACACAACGCGTCTAGAGATGGATCGTGAAAAATTGCACACCTCGTCCGGTCCACCAGCCAAGTGGTCCATGGATTGACTCCGTCTCACTCGGCACAACACACCAAGCCATTGGATTCTATCCGCCCGGCTAGCTCAATCGGTAGAGCGTGAGACTCTTAATCTCAAGGTTGTGGGTTCGACCCGTAAGTTAAAGCTCGTCTCAAGATGATCACAGAACATCGTCACTAACCCCCCCCAGCCACGTCGGGCTCAATTCCCGTCAGCGATTGACGCATTCTCTTTTTGCTTTTCTTGTTACTTTGCTCCCCTTTTGGTTCACCCAAAACTCCGTGCTTTTTTGCTTCGTCTGATGATGTCTCGCCGCTCGTGTATCCTTACTCTCATAACTCAATCTCAGATGTCCTCGCCCTACACCCAATGACCGTCCTCGGATCCGGCACAAACCGGCTGACAAACATGCTCGTCGGTGGCTTTTCTTCCACGATCTTCCAGTCGTAGTTCATGATTAGGTGCGCCAGCACAATCTTCATCTCGTTGCTAGCAAAGAACCGCCCCGGGCACGCATGCGTTCCATGGCCAAAGGCGAGGAACTCGGGGCTCGTCGAGACAAACTGCCATCGGTTCTCCTGCCCCGGCTCCTCTCGCATGCGAAGGAACCTGTGACCGTCGAATTTCTCGGGGTCGCGGCCCCAGAGGGCTGGGTCCCGGGTGTTGTGCGTGGCTACCGTCACTAAGGTGCCCTTTGGGAGGTAGGTTCCGTCGGAGAGGGTCATGGGCTCTTCGACTCTGCGGTTCATGATGTCTGCGCGTCGTGTTAGCAGAACATCGCGCCGAGAATTTCATGGTAGGAGGGGCTTACGGGGGCCCAAGATGTGCAATCGCTGGCTCTCCTTCATACAGCTGTCCATCAACTTCAACTTGAAGAGGCTGTTCTTGCTCCAACCCCCATCCTCGGTAAACACCTTGACAATCTCTTCTCTCAGCAGAGCAAAGTACTCCGGATACGCCAGTAAATCATATAATATGGCAGTCACCACAGAAGACGTTGTATGAATCGCCGCAAACGTGAGAAACAGCTGTCCAGCAACAACGTCAAACTCCCGCCCGCGTCGAACATCATCAATCCACGACAGAGAATCCATAGGCCTCTCTTT